ATGGACGTCCATTATTGTCATCAGACCCTCCACCCTTGCTATCATCTGTCTCGTCTTCGCAGAGTATGTGGCAAGTTTCTTCAGGATGTGCGGCTCACCAGAAATACCAAACAAACTAGTGGCAGCTATCGCGCTGAATAAGTAGTCATGCTCGTTTCGTTTTACAGTTTGATTTTAATTACTAGGTTTTTGTTATTTTTTGTGGATAATATCAATTTGAGCAGTCACGTAGATGACATATTACATGAGAAAATTTGAAAATGGCCCTGTAGACAGAGCTACAGATCACTTTTTGGGTCATTGAGTTAGGTACTCGCTTTTGGTCATCTCAATTGAGTATCTTAAGTTTCCTTAGAAATTGTACTCACCTCACTCAAACTCAATTAGGTATTTTGCCATTTTCCATTAATTTTAAAAATATAATAAAATGAAATGTCAGTGTTTGTGATTTACATTCGATCTGTAATATGGGAAACGATAAGAATGACAACAAGTTTTTAAGTTCATGTCCTGAAATAGAACCTCTCAGTATACTTCAGTTATTTTATCTATCCACCTATACGCAAGTTACGATTTGACATTTTTGTGTGTACGCATGTAAGATGACATTTATTGAGTACAAAACTTCAAGCGTACTTGTACGCAATAGACTTATTAGGAATTGAGTCTTCACATAAATATTTGAGTATTTACGCAGATACGCAGCTTATCTGTACCTCTGTAAAAGTAGATCTAGTCGGCGGACTCTCTGACAGAGAGCATGTTGTGAAGAGTTGTGTACCTTGTGTCAGGATCCGAAGGTTTTGAGTTCGATCCCAAATTATACAACCCTCGGTCTGTCGACAGCACACATTGTTCACGAGAGTATTATGAATGTCACTTTGGGCTTTTTGCATAGAAGAACCAAGATATGAGTTGGGTTTATCTGGGCTATTAAACAGCACTTCTTCAATATCACGGTATCGCGGTGACAGGCCAAGGTAAGAATTAATGCGAATATGGGGTTCGAGCTATCGATCATTGGATCAACACCTGCATAAGAAAAGCATATTTCGTATCTCCACCAACTCTAAGCTGACGTAACTATTGATACAAACATGTATAGTGAGTGAGTGAGTGAGTTTAGTTTTACGCCGCACTCAGCAATATTCCAGCTATAAGGCGGCGGTCTGTAAATAATCGAGTCTGGACCAGTCAATCCCGTGATGAACAGCATGAGCATCGATCTGCGCAATTAGGAACCGATGACATATGTCAACCAAGTCAGCGAGCCTGACCACCCGATCCCGTTAGATGGGTTACTGAAGATAAATATTCTAACCCGGACCTTCACGGGTCCAAACATGTATAACGTCCCTCATCACTTTAAGGGGGCAATTGGGGTAGCTTAGTAGGTAAAGCGTACACTCGTCACATGGAGGGACCGGGTTTGATTCTACGTATGGGCACAACTTGGAAGCCCATTTCCACGGTCGTGAAGTAGATGGAATATTGTAAATGGTACATAAAGTTATGCTCACTCACGTGAGACTAGTGTGTTCGAGCTTTTGATTCGGGTGGAATTAACAAGACATGTTTCTTCTTCAGTCACGGTGGGTATTGTAAACAGCTGGAGCACCAAGCTGGCCGCCAGGGTGCAGGTTGTCTTCACAGCCGCCAAACTCATCGCTCTATTCATCATCATCATCATCGGCGGTATAGTCAAGGTATGAGTAACAAGAATCGGTTATTTGTACCAAATATGGCATCATTTGTGTAAAACGTATGGACAGTGAAACCTGTGTCGGTGTTAGAGATGGTATTTCGATCCTATGGTGCCCCGTGCACCATGCTTGTGTCATGTAGCCGAAACAGATCGGTTGTTTACAACGTGACTAAACTGGTTCCACTGTTGTGGCACTACACGAGCTTAGCGCTAGTTTGTGTAGAGAGAAGTGAGTGAGTGTAGTTTTACGCCAAATTCAGCAATATTCCAGCTCTATGCCAGCTGTCTGTAAATAATCGAGTCTGGACCAGACAATCCAGTGATCAACAGCATGGGCATCGATCTACACTATTTGGATACAATAACATGTGTCAACCAAGTCAGCGAGCCTGGACACACTATCCCGTAGTCGCCGCTTACGACAAGCATGGGTTGCTGAAGATTAATTCTAACCCGAATCTTCACGGGTTGTAGAGAGAAGCCTAGTTAGATATATGACTTCGCTGATTTTGAAGCGTGCCAACACCTATATGCTTTCAGCACATCACTTAATGTGTCTAGGCGTCCAATTAAAGAACTAATGTTTTGTTTGTTTGTTTGTTTTAGTGCATGTTGTTTTACGCCGCATTCAGCAATGTTCTAGTTATACGATGGCGGTTAAAAGAGTCATACCAATGTACATGTTAGTACATGTACATTAGACTCGACTTAGCATGTAAGACAATACATGGTCATAGGATTGGGATAAATAGTTTGTTTGTAAGGTGGAATTGTCAACACTGAAATAGAGACATCCAGTGGACTGCACTATAGTATCTGGAAAACAGCTGAAGAGGGCTTGGCTTCCGGCTTGAAAGGGGATTGGCCACCAGTAAATTAATTGCCTCAAGCAGTGTTGAGTTTTACAAGCTCTCGTGATACGTTGTTAACCGCAGCAAGAACACCATTTACTCACCTGTATTATTCACCTTAAGGTTAGTTTTCCAGGTAACACGGCTGTTATAGCGACTGGTTTAACCGGCTCAACAACCTCGCCCTCAGTTATCGCCCTTGCCTTCTATGGTGCATTGTGGGCAAACGACGGATGGTAATTGCAATATTTAAATCAGTGACTGAAATGTATCGGAGTCAGTGAGTGTAGCCGCACTCAGCAATATTCCAGCTATATGGCGGCGGTCTGTAAATAATCGAATCTGGACCAGACAATCCAATGATCGGTATCCAATAATCAACAACATGAGCATCGATCTACGCAATTGGGATACGATGACATATGTCAGCGAACTTGACCACCCGATCCCGTTAGTCACCTCTTACGTTAAGCATTGGTAACTGGAGACCAATTCTAACCCGGACCTTCACGGACGAAAATGTATTGGAAGGTTGACCGGGGGTCTTCAACACAGGCCCTTGTGTCTTTGCGAGGATTAATTTTAAAAAATATGTATATTTAAGGTGACCCCTGTGTCGAAAGCTTCACAGTACTGAGTACAATACATAATGACCTTGCCATTATGTATTGTACTATGAAGTATTTTCAGTCGGGGGTCATCTATAAAAAAACAACAATGTTTATTAAATCTTTAATACAAAGACACGAGAGCCTGTGGTGTTCAGACCCCACCGACGTGTGTCCGAGATCACCCAGTGTATATTTCCACCGGTCTTAATAGAACAGAGACAGAATACCCTGCATACTCGAGGATGGATAATGTCCGGACTTGATTAATTACAGGAACTAGATATATACCGTTGTATTCCAAATATACCTGTAAAACAAACACACACACACACACACACACACACACACGTACACTTACCTACGTTGCACACTTGCCTCTTTATAAGCATAGAAAACTTTTGTACTTTTGGAAGTGTTAGAACTGTTTAAATTTATCGTGCATGACACAACTATCAAATAACACATGTACTTAAAAACGCTGCACTCACACTTGAACACAGTGATGCACTCATGAGAACGCTGTCAATTTATAGGTATATTTACCTGGTTACCTGTTCAAATAGCTCAGACCTTTTGTACTGCCGGAGCCGTTTACTGTGCCTGTAGATTATAAACTGCACAAACACCACTCGAAAATATTAAACTTAACACTATCAGTGTATGGCCCAGTCACCTATTCTCCGTTGTTTACATCGTCATAGATGATATTCCTGCTATATGCCGGGCTGTAATTAATCAAGTGTGGACCAGACAATCTAATATTTGACATCATGAGGTTCGATTCACACAGTTGGGATCTGATGACATCAAACCATTTAGTCACGTCCTAAGAGAAGCCTGGGCTGCTTAGCTTCTACGTTTTTAACCCAACTCATCACAGGAGCTGAAAACGACCCGAGATTCACTTCCGCAAAGACTAGCGAACATTCGTTGTGCCAGAAGTAGAGGATACTTTTCAGTTCACGAGTTTGAAAGAACAGATACCTTTCTTGTAAAACCTCAATTTACCTCTCATTAAACGTTCACAGGCTCCCAACAATATAAAATGGTGGGTACACGAGAGTGAGTCCATTCTATTTCTAGGGGTGGAACATATGCCCTAAATGTATAATTTCTAGGCAACAGTTGAAAAATTTAATAGTTTGTTTTGTGGTAAATACCCAGATTCTTCCAGATCTGGAGAATAACTCCAGAGAAAAAGGGCTCAACCTTAAGTCGAGAATGATTGAGCAAGTCCAGAATGACTTGGCAACACTAGACTGCCTCAGTTTTTGGCATTAAAATAATAATCTTTCAGGGCTTCTTTTGAATATTTTGATTTTTTTTGTAGATATATATATATATATTTTATAAGCAAAGATACCGACAGCCGAGAAAATACTCCAAAGTCCTTTTTTTGTGTGAAAATAAATAGACTGTCCGATGGTTCTCAGTAAATATATTGAATGCTCTGTGCCCCAACCCGTTAAATCAAATGGATGTTCCCTGTGATGTTAGTATGAATTATCTGTATCTGTATTTTTCAGGAACAATCTTAACTTTGTGACCGAGGAGATCAATGAGCCAAAGAAGTGAGTACTGTCACGCTGAACTCTTCGTGAGTTGACTCTATGACGTCATGTCCACCTTCACGGTCAGACAAAGCAAAGTGTAATCCCATACTAAGTCTTGATGGTGGCTTAACTGGAAGACAGAAAAGGTCCAACAAATCCTCATCATGATACATTGTTTGCGGTGTAATCATAAATCGCTAAACGGATATACAAAGTAGGAAGAAATTTAGCTTTAATGACTTTAATCAAATTTGCTAGGCCAGCTTAGTACCACTTAAAGATGCTTTGCTTGTGCAGAAACCTTCCTCGGGCCAACATCATCGGCGTCGTCCTCGTCACTGTCGTCTACGTCCTCACCAACATCTCCTACTTGGCCGTGCTGAGCACTCAGCAACTGTTAGACTCTGCGGCTGTGGCAGTGGTAAGTTTGGACTGCTCCTTATGCTCCGATAAATCTTGCCGCAAACTGGTTTGGTTTGGTCTGCTTTGTTCGTTGTTTAACGCCGCACTCAGCAATATTCCAACAGTATGGCGGCGGTCCGTAAATAATCGAGTCCGGACCAGACACTCCAGGTATCAAACTCATGATCTACGATCCACTCAAGTCGGCGCGCGCCTGACCACCCGATCTGTTAGTCGCCCCTTACGAGACGCATTTTATGTACGTTTCATATTTAGTTGTGCTATTCTTGTATTTTAATGACTAAAGGAAGAAAGAGTGGATTGATTGTCGGCGTTTTTCGATAGTAATGCTTGATGCTCGTGCTATTAACCATCGGTTTGAATATTACGCCCATGTTACCGTGGTCGAAGCGTTGCAGTCATATGACACTAGAATACAGCCCTTTTCCCAGTTCTCCGGGGAATGTAGTTTTAAGCGTCGTCGTTGTGGCTTTTTGATATGCTTCCACACATGTATGCTGACTATTTAGGTTGTATCTACTTGTGTATTTAGGTCTGTGAAATGCATCCAAGCTGTGTATATTAATGTATGTTGGGATATAACTTATCTTTCATTTTCGCTTTTTGGAACGTGTGTTTCTTCCTTTCAACGTGTGTCTACCATGTGTGTGACTTTTGACATTTCTTCTCAGACATGGGGTGATCTCATTCTTGGAGCCGCCGCCATCATCGTGCCTTTGTCAGTCATGATCTCAGCATTCGGGGCGGCAAACGGAACAGCCTTCAGTGGATCCAGGTAAGTCTTACTTCTTACTGCATTACTAATGAGGCGATTTGTATATCTGCTTCCTCGAACAGCATTAGTATCGATGGTGATGTATTTTTCGAAATGTCTTGCAGAAGAACATTTCTCTGGCACCAATAACCCATTGTTCCACACGGGTGTTTCTACGACTAGCAACGTAACAAAGAACTTTTAATTAAAAACAAACAACGAAATACTGTGAAGGACCTTTTTCGAACATTGTCAAATCCTAGAAATGGTCTTCAGCAACCCATACTTGTCGTAAGAGGCGACTAACGGGGTCGGGTGGTCAGGCTCGCTGACTTGGTTGATACGTGTCATCGTATCCCAGTTGCATTGGTCAATGTTCATGATGTCTCTCATTGTCCCAAACTGGACTTTACAGACCCCCCTAGTGCAGCGTTAGATATGTACCCTAAACACAGATCTTTGAACATCTGAGGCATTATCGAGTGGACACGATACTGGCGGGTAAAGTGCTAAGCCGTATATTTGTTTCTGTCATTGGAGAGCTGATCCTCACTTACCTGTCATGAGATAGGCGAGTCGGACTAAAATCAGCTTGCACATTATCGTACCCAGAGGTTTAGGTGTCTCCATAAGGTGGCGTAAAACAACACCCATTTTAATCTGTTGCTAGGGTGGTGTACGCCGCGGCCCGCGACTACAACCTGCCGGAAGTGTTGTCGTACATCCAGGTGAAGCAGCTCACGCCGATGCCGTTGATGTTATTTAAGGTACGTACAACGCCGTCTTGTTATTTCTCTTTTGAAGCTGGAAATGCAAGGCATTAGGTATATATAGCCAGGAGTATATAAAAATATGATTTTCATATTGTTTATTGCATGCAATAAAGACCAAGTACGAGTCTCATCGTAAAGAGAGTCCCCTCACATCGGGATTGCATCGCTACACCGGTTGCTGAATATTTTAACAAGGCAACGTTTAATATTTCTCACCATCGGAATACAATGTTCCCCAATGGGTCTTCATGCTATCAACCACTGCTGTATCTGTTCAAAGCCAATGTTACACCACACGCCTCTGCAATATTCAACCTACGGTACTAATGAGTGCATGATAATGGTTGTTCCTCGCTTTTAGGATTATTCCAGCAATATCACGGCGGGGGACACAAGAAATGGGCTTCACGCGTTGTACCCATGTGGAGAATCGAACCCGGGCCTTCGGCGAACGCTTTAACCACTAGGCTACCCCACCGTCCACGATCTATTAGATGTAGACGGACGTGTTGGCTACAGATATATCACATGTCGGAGAGCCGCAGAAGAACAATTGCAGCAATAATCAAAACTATTTATCCTTGTTCAGATCTTCATCTCCCTCCTCATGATCATCCCCGGTGACATCGGCAGCCTCATCGATTTCTTCAGCTTCACCGCCTGGGCGTTCTACGGCATGACCTTCCTCTCCCCTATCGTCCTCAGGTTCAGGATGAAGGGCGCACCAAGACCATATAAGGCAAACAGTCGACATGTGTATTCAAAATCACCGTGGCAATCTTTATGGTATGTGGGGTGATCTAATATCTCCAACTACGGGCAAAGTCATGTTGTCAATCACGCTCGCAGGCAAAACAAGGTGCTCCATCACGACCCTAACTAATGCAAGATGGACCAACACAATCCCAGGTAAAATAGGGTGGTCCAACACAATCCCGATAAATTAAGCTGGTCCAACACAATCCCGATAAATTAAGGTGGTCTAACACAATCCCGATAAATTAAGATGGTCCAACAAAATGCCGACAATTTAAGGTGGTCCAACAAAATCCCGATAAATTCAGGTCGTCCAACACAATCCCAGGAAAAGTAAGGTGGTCCAACAAAATCCCAGGAAAAGTAAGGTGGTCCAACAAAATCCCGATAAATAAAGGTAGTCCAACACAATCCCAAGAAATTAAGGTGGTCCAACAAAATCCCAGGAAAAGTAAGGTGGTCCAACACAATCCCGAGAAAGTAAGGTGGTCTAACACAATCCTTATAAATTAAGATGGTCCAACAAAATGCCGACAATTTAAGGTGGTCCAACAAAATCCCGATAAATTCAGGTCGTCCAACACAATCCCAGGAAAAGTAAGGTGGTTCAACACAATCCCTAGAAATTAAGGTGGTCCAACAAAATCCCAGGAGACGTACGGTGGTCCAACACAATCCCAGGAAAAGTAAGGTGGTCCAACACAATCCCTAGAAATTAAGATGGTCCAACGCAATCCCAAGAATTTACGGTGGTCCAACACAATCCCGAGAAATTAGGGTGGTCCAACACAATCCAAAGAAATTACGGTGGTCCAACACAATCCCAAGAAATTAAGGTGGTCCAACACAGTGCTAGGAAAATTAAGGTGGTCCAACACACTCCCGAGAACGTAAAGTGGTCCAACACAATCCCAGAGAAAGTAAGGTAATCAAACACAATCCTAGGGAAATGAAGGCGGCCCAGCACAATCCCAAGAAATTAAGGTAGTCCAATACAATCCCAGGAAAAAGTGGTCCAATACAATCCCAGGAAAAGGTGGTCCAACACAATCCCAGGGAAGGTAAGATCTTTCTTTCAAAGTGGAGACTGCATTTCGCTATGCATTGTTGCGCTCTTTAGACATGCCTGGAACCCTCTATTGTGTGGTTCGAATCCGGGTTTGGCCTGATTAATTTTCCTTCGTTTGTCAGTACAGAATCCGTTCCTGTGAGTTTTACCACCAAAGTGGCAGGGGTGGTATAGCTTAGCCGAGTGGTTAAAGCGTTCGTTCGTCATCCGAAGGCCCGGGTTCGATTCCTCATATGGGTGAAGACTATGTTTGGTGTCCCTCGCCGTGATATTGCAAGAATATTGCTAAAAGCGTCGTATTTCGATTCTCACTGACACAATATTTCACTGACAGATGTAGTTGCATCTAGAGTGATTGGCGTGTATGACAATCACAGTTGATTTCAAATGGCATTTCACTTAATAAGATACATACTTATTGTCTTGTTCGATGAGCTATGTTTCTCTAAGATTATACTTGTTTTTATTTCCGCAGGTCCAAATACGAGCGTAGAACCATACTCACTCACCCACTCGTTCTTTTGTCAGATTGTTCATGATTGTTTTCTCCGCAGGTCCCAATACCTATCCCCGTGATAATGTTCCTGGTGTCCATCTAACTTGTAATAGCCCCTATCGTGGACAATCCGCATATGGGGTTCCTGTATGCCTTCCTGTTTGTCATAATGGGCTTATCCTGTACTTCCCATTCGTACATTTCAACCTCAAGCTGTGGGGATGGGGTAAGTACGCTGGATAATATACACACTGCTATACACAGAAGCTTGGTGTTAATGGGAAAATATTCCCCTGGCGATTTTACAGGTGTATTCACGGCCAGTTTTTACTAGTGTGACCCGTGAAGATCCGGGTTAGAATTGATCTTCAGCAACCTATGCTTGTCTTAAGAGGCGACTAACGGGATCGGGTGGTCAGGCTCGCTGGCTTGGTTCACACATGTCATCGGTTCCCAATTGCACAGATTGTTGCTCATGATGTTGATCACTGGATTGTCTGGTCCAGACTCGATTATTTACAGATTGCCGCCATATAGCTGGAATATTGCTGAGTGCGGCGTAAAACTAAACTCACCCACTCTCTCACTCTTTACTAGTGTTACATACAATATACTTGGGACAACACTTTCTACAGATTACAGAATTCACAGAGATTACAGAGATTACAGATTCTAGTACCTTTCTTGGATCGAGTCCCAAACGGGATTCGAACCCACACTCTCAGAGTCATTCAGATAATCACGAGCACACAAAGTCAGTTCTTGCCTCTTGTAACAATGTTGGACCAATATTCGAGAAAAACAGTTAAAATGTTGACACAATGTAGTTGAAATGTAGTCACACTGTAGTCATACTGTATACAATTGTGATCACATTATGGTCAGTTTACAGACACAATGCGATGACAATGTAGTCACACTGTAGTCATACTGTATACAATTGTGATCACATTATGGTCAGTTTACAGACACAATGCGATGACAATGTAGTCACACTGTAGTCATACTGTATACAATTGTGATCACATTATGGTCAGTTTACAGACACAATGCGATGACAATGTAGTCACACTGTAGTCATACTGTATACAATTGTGATCACATTATGGTCAGTTTACAGACACAATGCGATGACAATGTAGTCACACTGTAGTCATACTGTATACAATTGTGATCACATTATGGTCAGTTTACAGACACAATGCGATGACAATGTAGTCACACTGTAGTCATACTGTATACAATTGTGATCACATTATGGTCAGTTTACAGACACAATGCGATGACAATGTAGTCACACTCTCTGCAATGGTTATTATCACGTTACGTCAGTACGTAGTCACACTGTTAAAATGCTGAATGTACTGTAGTTAAAATGTAACAATATAGTTCTAGTTTACTCACCAGGTAATCATTCTGTGGAAAATGTAGGCACAATGTAGTTAGATCTAGGTTGTCTTCAGCAATCCATGCTTGTCGTAAGAGGCCACAAACGGGATCGGGTGGTCAGACTCGCTGACACATGTCATCGTATCCAAATTGCGTAAATCGATTCTCATACTGTTGATCACTGGATTGTCTGGTTCAGACCCGATTATCTACAGTCGGCCGCCATATAGCTGGAATATTGCTGTGTGGGGCGTTAAATAACAACCAAAACACAATTTAGTTACACTGTAGCGATAAACCGCAGTATTTGTATAAATAGCAGTATTTGTGATCTATGTATACATATGTACACATTTTATGTTCAAAAATACGAATATGATTGAAAACATCTTTGTGTGTCATTCCAGATCGCATCACCATGTACTGCCAGCTGGTCTTTAACATAGTTCCGTCATCCGTAGAACCTGATGAATAATCAACCTTATAAACTGAAGGCTAATGTCTTGGAACACATGTCAGCTTCTGTATTTTGTGTTCCTCAAAGTAAATAAGTTGGCATCCATAAATTCTCGCCTTAATGAATGCTACTGTTGTGTCAGTATGTCCCACGGTCATCGCACATCGCAACGGCAAGATCAGGACAGAGGCAATATACAGCAAGATGGCGGCATCCGTGGGAGGTGCTGGGAACAGCTCCGTCTCTCACAACACCCCTTGCCAAGAACCTGTTTCCTACCACCGCTAAACTTCGATCTCTTTGTAAAGCAGTTTGTTGGGTGGGGACATCATCATGAGGCCAAACACTTGCTGTTTCTGCTTAAGCACACTCTTGGAATGGTCAGCGCTCATTTTGTAATTTCAACTGGACATGTAGTAGATCTTCCCAAGTTTCTTCATAAATCGTTGTATTGCGAACCTTTGTTTATCCGGACATTGTTAATACGGATAACTTCTCTTCAGGCGATTATATTACGGCCGAGAGCTCCTATGTGTATTTAATGTCCTGTGAATATGTTCCTCCAGTTATTCAACCTTTGCGTCGTTTGTCATAGTCTATGGTTGAAGCTGTGAATTCAGAATTGGATAGAATGTTGGATGATGACATTATAGAACAGGTTCATCGTGCTACACCTTGGGTATCTAACATTCATTGTGTACCAAAGCCCAATTCATCAGAGGGATAACGATGTGTTGTGATCTTCGCGAGGTGAACAAAGCAGTTGTTAGGGAGAGATTTCCAATTCCTATGATTGATGATACACTTCATGCTTTGAAATCGGCTAAGTACTATGCTAAGTTGGATTGTAAACGAGGGTTTTGGCAAATTGAACTTGCTGAAAATTCCAGAGACATTACCAGTTTTGTTACTCATAGAGGATGTTACAGATTCAAGAGATTACCATTTGGTTTGAACCCAGCATCAGAGGCTTATCAGAAAGCTATGACTTATGTTTTTCAAGGTAAAGAAGGTCTTGAGAAATACATTGATGACTTGATCTGTTATGCAGAAACAGACTACAATCTGACGTTGAATAAATCAAAGTGTAAACTTGGACTAACAGAGATTGAAGTGTTAGGAAATGTTGTATCACCTTCAGGAATTAAGCCTAATCCAAAGAAAGTACAAGCAGTAGAATAAGCTTCCCCACCAACGAATGTGTCAGAACGTGCAACTATCTCATGAAGTTTGTGCCTAATTTTGCAGAATTATGTGAGCCATTGAGAAAGTTTACTATAAAAAAAAAGTACTGTCGGAAATAGAAAAAAACTGTTTTTAGGCTGTTACTCTGTATCCCTAAAATTGACATAATTGCAAATAGCATATGTCGAAATAACCCACTTCGGCCTAACTGGGCATTCAATGGGATGCGTAATAGGATATCCAGAAAAGCATGTTTACTCGTAAAATCAGGCAAAACTGACATAGCTGCTGAAAACAATAGATCAGACTAAAGATGGCAATTAGGTTGCTCAGCCAGGTATGACGACGGACCGTCGACTCACCTGGCATGAAATGCACGTGCTGCCTACAGAAGGGGTCATCTCAAAGATATTTTGTGCTTTTTCATGTGTGTTGACTATGTCTCATCTACTGATTAACATCTTACGTGTCTTTCTTTCATAAAGTTTATGTTGAGATATGTAAGAGAGTATGATACCCGAAAACCATAGAAACGCATCGTAGTATATAGGTGGCATGACCACCCGAAGATCGACAGGACTGGATATTATTTGTAAATTGTTATGACGTGCCGTGTACCTCCCCAGTATAATTGCCTTAAATGATTATCTTATCTTAGCTGATATCTCTATCCCCAAGCCCGACCCCAGGTTTTGCTTTTGAGGCGACCCCTCCTATCTGTTTCTTTTTATAGTGACAGTGAGACTGCATGGTAGCTACATCCTTAATAGTTTCAGCATAAAAGTTATTATTATTTACGTCAGCTACCGTTTATAATGAATCTACGTCTAATTTCAAATTGGGCATTTAAAAAGTGTCCGTTGTAATACAATATCGTCGCACACTAATTTGCTTAAAGCCATGGTCTGTTCCAAATAAGTCTTTATGGACTTAGAAAAAACCCGCATTGCTCATTTCTGCACTAATTTCCCCTCAGTAAAGTCCTTTTTCTCCGTTTCCCTACCTTTCTACCACTGAGACTGTAGTTAGGCCTAACTTAGTTTTACAGATATTTCACACTTGCACATATCAACTACATAAATTGTAGAGATAAATGCGAAAATACAGGTTTTTCTATTTCCGTCAGTACTAGCTAGTATTCCGTGGAAATGGGATGCTCATGTTGAAACTGCATTCAATACTTGGAAGAAAGCTATTAGTAAAAGTGCTTCTTTAGCATACTATGATTTGAATGCTACTACAGTTCTCATCACTGATGCTAGTCCAGTTGGTCTTGGGTCTATATTGTTACAAGAACAGTCAAGTGGTCCCATGAAAGCGATAGCTTTTGCAAGTCGTTCTCTCACTGAAACAGAGAGGAGGTATTCACCGATTGAACGTGAAGTGTTAGGATGTGTTTGGTCAGTTGAACATTTTCACAAATATCTGTGGGGTAGGAAGTTTGTTTTGCAAACTGATCATCGTCCTTTGATTCATATGTTGACTCAACAGAAAACTGTACAGTTACCTCCACGCATTCAGAGATTTGCTTGGAAATTGCAAGGGTATGATTTTGACATTGTTCATTTTCCTGGAAAGAGTAATATTGCTGACTTTTTGTCTAGACAACCTTTGTCATCAATGAAATCTGAAAATGTTGCAGATCTTTATGTCAGGTCTGTGGTTGATACTTGTGTTTTGGATTTCAATTCAGTTTCACTGGATGAGTTGAAAGATGCTACTATGCATGATTCAGAGCTTGTAAAAGTAGGAAATTCAGTTGATTCTGGAATTTTGAATTGTGAAAGTGAATATTTTAGATCCAAGATGAACTCTCTATGTTTGAATCATTATTGTTGAGAGGAGAAAGAATAATTGTGCCAACTGTGTTGAGAAAGAAAATTCTGGACATTGCACATGAAACTCATCAAGGAATAGTCAGGACAAAACAGTTTCTACAAGCACGATTCTGCTGGCCGAAGATGTATTCAGATGTTGAACATTTAATCAATAACTGTACATCATGTGTATTGAATCAACCGCTACATAATGGTACTCCTTTACAACCTGTTGAACATGCGCCTGAAGTTTGTGTACGTAGCAAACATTGTGCGTGGAAAGTTAGAACCGACATTCAACAATGTGAGACATGTTATCTTGCATAAGAAACAGAGAGAAGACTGTTTCCAGATTGTTAATTGCAACACTGGAGTGATCACTGTCAGAAATGTGAAATATCTTAGACACGTCCCATGTATGGAAGGTTATTCAGAGATATAAGAAGACACCATCCAGGAACTGGTGCCTCGAGCTCCGAATATACATGTTACACTACCTGCTCCAGAGCAACCTAAACCTGTTGACGCTGGACATGGTGAGACAGAACATTCAGATGTTGGTCCAGAAGTACCAATGTTGAATGATCTTAAGGTTAGAGAACCACGACGTTCGCAGAGAATCAGAAAACAACCTGAACGATTTCACGACTATGTCTTGAAATGAACTTTGAACTGTCATCGACTATATCTGAATGACTGAAAGAATTGAGAACTGGTTTACTCTTAGATTTTCTGTATAATATGTGAGGGGAGGTGAAATTGGGTTTAACGTCGTGCTTGAGAATATTTCGCTCATATGACGACGTGCATGCATGGGTGTGTATGTGTATGTGCGGCTGCTTGTACTAGCCCAGACTTAAGCTGGTTTTATAGTGCTAGCCCACTGAGATACCATGCCGCAGTGAAGCATGAATACCCCACTCAGACACATTATACTGACTCCGAGCCGACCAGTCCTTGTTGTACCCATTAATGCCGAGCGCCAGGCAGGAACCAGCAAGTACCATATTTTAACGTCTTTTGGTATGACGCGGTCGGGGATCGAACCCGCGACCTTCCGCTGTCCGGGCGGACGCTCTAACCACTACACCGCGGAGGCGGTCTCTGTATAATATGTGGGTGTTGGGGTAGCCTAGTGATTAAAGCCTTGGCTCGTCACGCCGAAGACCCTGGTTCGATTCTCCACATGGGCACAATGTGTGAAACCGATTTCTGGTGTCCCCCGCCGTGATATTGCTGGAATATTGCTAAAAGCGGCGTAAAACTAAACTCAGTCAGTCAGTCAGTCAGTCAGTACAATATGTATATAATATATCAGGAAATCAATTCTTTGATATTGGGCTGGTGTTATTTTATATTGCATTATTTCGTAAATATCTTGTCATTGGTGAATTGAATGTTTGGTGTTATTTGATATTGCATTATTTCGTCAATATCTTGTCATTGGTGAATTGAATGAAAGTATGTTCACTGTATCAGGTATCTAGTAAGAGTAAACATATATATATATATTAATACAACATTTATTGATAAGTTATATAGTTTCATATTAACATTTTACAGTTGTTGAGAGAATGATCAGAACCAGCTCGTTAGTGAAGCGTGTGAATGATTAAACATGGGAGGAATGTAGCATAGTAATATTATACATCATGTGATGTAATGTGATGTGGTGCGTGGCGTACCGGATGCTCTGGCTTATCGTAAACACTTAGTTGTGTTGTCTCTCCTCCTGGGAACAGCAAGTATTGCAGTGAAGGACCCATAGAACACTACAGTACATAACAAGGTGTACAGCTGGCTATCGATACAGATCATAGAGTTCGATCATTGTTAACTAAATATCAATCGATTACTTTGAACTTTGACAAAAAAACAGAAATATCTCAACGAAATGAATATATTTCACATCACTGGTGAGTGGTGACATATTTTTGCATGGATTATTAACAAAACAGCGTTCTGAACATAATTTAGAAGCAGACATGAATAAAGTCCCAATTTTGTAAATCGTGTGAGGAAATTAAAACTTGTTTTCTATCACAGAAGTTAATGTACGAAATTATCGAGAAAACAATTTCCATATCGGTAATTAGAAATAATGTTTCTTATCGACGTTATTTCCTATTATCGATGATTTAAGCCAGTCTTATTAAGGTGTGATGTTATTCTCTGAGGATCATAAGTATCACTGACGTGTATCTATAATGCATCACCACAATGAAAAATCCGAATATTAATCATTTGCGAGGTGTATACAGCCTTTGGTTAAATTTCAGATCCGTGCAAGTTAACGCTTGTTAAGACAAGAAAGCATATCTATGTGTCTGAGTTTTCGGATCGTGACACAATTTCATCGTATTGTTGGTAATTTAAACTATAAGTTGGATGAGAATGAATGGATTTAATAGAAACAGACATTAGGTTCGTTGCTGACACAATGGTCAAACAAGATTAACTCAAGCAGCACATTTCGGATCCATAGAAAAGTTTTAAACTTCCGTGTGTCGCAATGATATGGATCTATTAATACAGTATGCTTCTTCGGGGATTGTTAAATGCTCGTCACTAACAGTCAGTGTCACGAAACGTGCAGGCGCTGAGAGGTGGCCAGTAGGTATCCATCGTACAAGGCGTTTCATCTCAAGGACACGACGGTTCTCTGACATGCAAACGATGGGGGCTATTTGCTGTTGTTTCAGAAGAAATTACAAGGTAGGATAATTGGCTTTATTAATTAATCTAAAAACTTAACGAATATATATTTGGAGTGGCTATTCATGAAAGTACATTTTAAACACACCTGAAGATTTGGCCACAGTATCCAGACAAGAAGTAAAGCGGAAAGAAATTAAAAGATCATTACATGTATATGAGACATTGACAGTAACAGTGTCACTTTATATGGTTTTGTGCACTACTGTTTAGCAATGGTAGTGCTTGCCGAGCAGGACCTAAAACCCGAGGACCTAGTACTTATGGCCTAAAATGACAATCAAACATAAATTGAATGAGACATTCACATAAACAGTGTCACTGTATATGGTTTTGTCCACGACTATGTGATAATGGTAGTACTTGCCGAGCAGGATCTAAACTTATATAACAGTTTCCCATGTTTTACTGCCGAATTACATGCAATATTGGGTTGATCATACTTTATCAGAACCTTTACTGTATATTCTAGCCTGTCCCTTCAAATACAGACTGGCGGAATCAGCTGTCGGAGGAAGAGAAGAACGTTTACCTGACAGAGAAGACATTGCTGCTTGTGTCGGAGAACCTAGGGGAAGGTTGGAAGGCGGTGGGCGTCCGTCTAGGGCTGACTTATGTGTGTGTACAGGGGTGCAAGATGACTCACTCTACCTGTGTGATGCAGATCTTTGTCATGTTGAACACGTGGAGGAAGAAGGAAGGTCAGGAGGTTACAGCCGGGAATCTGATGATGATCCTTCAGCAGAGTCTACAGGTGTGCAATATAGACATGTGGGGTGTCGTTGATGTGTTGAAGGAGCACTGATGATCTAACTCACACCTCAACTCAACGTATCAGTGACAAAAACGATGTCCGATGCAAGTCACTATTTTGACTTATACCATACGTTCCGAAATATTTTCAGGTTACCACAATTGACTAGACTTTGCATATATTTAATAACGGGTGGGACAGGATACGCTCACCTTCGCAAACACCTGGTATCATCACAATTTCATACTCATGCATAAACACATGCTGTCATCGTATCGCATGGTGATAATCACTTGATTGTCTGGTTCAGACTCGATTGTTTACAAACAAGATCGTACAGCTAGAATTCTGCTGAAGCTTACACATATTCATGAATTAGTCACAATCGTATAATCGACTCTGCTTTTAGCCGAGATTTCTTATTGATGTGGAAATGGTTTTGTCGCTTCTGTTTATGAAAACCAGTAGTTCATTATTTGTACTAAGGAATTATAATGTTTTTTGTTGTTATGATCACAATTAATGTTTGTGTAATATTTTCCATAAGATTCGGATTCAGAACTGCTTTGGTAACATTTGCTGGTAACTATTGCTGTTTCAGATACTCTTTGTACCGAACAAGGGCAAGTCTAATAATAACGTAGAGCACAGGTTGTCGGGATAACATTAAGTGGATCATCATTAAGAAATAAAAATAATGTCTGGGCATCCTTTATTGTCGATTTGATGATGACCCCGACATGTTATAGAAACCCAACTGTTGATCTTGTTAAAAGCCTCTCTGAAGTGTGAACGAGTAAGTTTGGTTTTACGCCGCGTTTAGCAATATTCCAGCAATGTCACGGCGGGGACACCAGAAATGGGTTTCACACATTGTACCCATGTGGAGAATCGAACCCGGGTCTAACCATTAGGGTACCCCACTGCTCCACTTCTCTGAAGAACTAAACTTCGGTTAATATACCTATTGACAATTTTCTACACCCTTCATCGACTGATGTGTGTTGCATTTATGGCAAACGCGTTTCAGGTACTAAACGGTTACTGCTGATGTGTTGTAATAACGAAACAGTTTTAATTCATATTGCCTATTTACATGAATCCAGATCCTATGGTTTTAATCGGATCCCTGAACCAAGGGCGCTTCTGTTTCAGTATAGAATATTTTTGCTCGACAATATAGTTTTTGTCAGATTAAATGCATTTGACTAAATTAAATATTTGGTTTGTAGCTGTAACAAATTGTGAATTATGCTGGTTAGAACATTTACTTCATATCTGCTATTTTGAAAAAGAAATAGTATGTATTCTGAATGACGTACATGCATCCATGAAGTATATTTTGGGTGGCATCATGTACAGTGCGTCATCTGAGTGAAGGTAATGAGTTGACTCCTTGTACAATGTGGAAGATCTTGGTTGCATTGGTTGCTGAAGTCCTGGATCTAAATCACTCATATCAACACGGAAAGCCATTGACGTTGACATTGACGAGATAAACCAAAACAAACAACTGCATACTTTATACTCAAAATACTCAATATCCGTTTCTGAAATGACATTTTATTTCCCGATATGTCTGTAACTGACACATTTTGAACTTTGGTCACATTAGCGTCTTACAATTCAGAGACGACTTTAATTCGAGTGAAGGTTTCCGTAAATATATCAAATCATAGTAACAAATGTTCACCAGCAATGATCACTAAACAGATGCAATATCTTTTGCCCTGAACCCAAATTAGTTCCAACGTTAAATGAATTAGTTGTTGGACATGAAACCAACCCAAGTGAAAATCTGTATATATACACACAAATAGCAGCAACGGGAATTTTGCAACAAGTTAGTAACTTCATAACTCAGACCTAACTTAACACAGGAGATGATGAGTAATAGGTATCTCTTACATAATTAGGTTCCATTGTACATGTTCTTCATGCATTCAGATGCGACGCAGTCAATGGTCTTGAACAAATGTGATCCTCATATTTGCAGCGCCTACCAGTAATATTTGTGTGTGAATAATAAGTAGTGTGTTGAAAACACCTGACTCATCAAGCATGTCCACTGTACAGGTATACACACTCTCCTGGAGCACATTCACCAGCACGTCCACTGTAGCCTTCCCACCCTCCTTCATCCTCCACTTGTCCAGCATACAGCGAGGCACCTTACACCTCTGTACACAAGCATAGGACAGTCCCAGTCGGAGTCCGACCGTCTCCCAACCTTCACCCAGGCACTCCGACACCAGCAACACAACTCTCTCCGTCACAGGAGCCATCCGTTGTTCTTCTGTCAGATGACTGGCCCAGTCCTCTCTTGAACACTTGTCCTGAAACAATGATATGTTCATTTTGAGAAAGGAAAATGTGCTTTGAAGTAAAATTAAGGGCAATGAAATCTTCAGCACATATTAAGTTCGTATGATGCAGTTTTGAAACAAATGCGAATAACTATTAGTATCCGAAACTTTGTAATTGTGACAACTGATTGTAAATATGAACATATCACGTTTAAGTCATTCATAACACTCAGGGCTGTTATTTTCCTTTGGCTGATTGTTGGAGTTGTTATGTTGTCTTATAATTCCTATTCAAGATGAAGGTTTTTGTCGTATGCATGTCCACTACAATGACACTTATTTACATGTTAAACATGATATAACAATCAGTAGAATTATAATTGTACAGGGGTAGGAACATTCTGTGCTGTATTCTACACTCAACTTACACCACGATCCGGCATTTCATCTGTTATGTCCTTCCTTGTAGTCTCCTCTTCCAACACATCAGTCGCATTCAAAACCTGTGATGCAAGGGAGGTAATTATGTCTATGTCTCTTGGTAAAGATTGCTGATCATAATACAAATGATGCAAGATGTGCACAATACGACCTGCATTGCACAATGTTCGATACGCAGACAAGGGGAAAAAGATTGATCAAGCATACACGTGTTATGATGGTGTTATAATAGGTGATGCTGGTATTTGTTTTGGCTGAACCCGGATTTAAATATATGTCCCTGTGACGTGTACTCCGTGAAGATATTCGGATCCAAATTCGGATCCTCGGTATGTCAGTAAAAACTCTGTATGTAAAACATAGGATATCATCCTATATTCTGATGTATACATAAAGCTTTTATGTCGTTGTAGTTAAGTGTAACAATCAGTAAGTATTTCAGAATGGACAGAGAGACAAGATGAACAGACACAGAGACAGTGGGCGTTTAGACACATTTAGGTTTTCGGGTAGAGACACATTTGCGTTTAAACAAATTACGGTACTTGTTTTTGTTGAACGGGGATTAACATATGTGTCCCCGTGACGTGATTGTGTGAAGACCTTCGGATCCGAGGTAAAACAGTGAAGACTCTGTATGTACAACATATGATAGAATCCTCAATTCTGATGTTTACATAAAGCTTACCATGTTATTGTAGTTACGTGTAACGATCAATTAATAGTTCAAGGTGGATAGTAAGTCAAATACATATTTGGACGTTTTCTTACATGTACGTACATACAAATTACACGTCACGCAATCATTGACTGAATAAGTATGTCAACAACGTACCTGGTGACATGCTTGGTTACAGCATATAAGCCACTTAAAAGCCATCATACATAGCCGACCAAATGAACAACAGTTGTTCCGTTCCTTCATCCTCCCTGTGTAAGACCACTGAGTCAACTGAGAGAGCGACGTAGCTGTCCAGTGTTGGTGTCTCAGTGGACATGCGCCGACTGGGGTCTGTGAAATGCTTGTGAATAACTCCACTGCTCTCATTGGTTGAATCATTCTTCGGATCCACCAGCTGACGTGCATACAAGAAAACCTCTTTGAAGAGGACTTTTATTAAGTCGAGTGTTTTGAAAATATGGATACGTGTTTTGAAAATATGGATACAATTTGATGGACATTCATAAAAACTGCCGGAACATTGAAAGGTTTTTCAGGTGCTTATTGTGCTGGACAGATTGGCGGTTATATACACTCAGGTCAATAAGTACATGTAAATTCAAGCACCATATTTGTCGGATTTCCCAACTGACTGATGGTGCTTAGACGGGTCTTTGAACTGCATATACATAATCCCAGGGCTAAAATATTCTTCGGATCCGCCAGCTAATCACAGCCAATCTATAAATATCTGTTGTGATAACACGGATGGTTCATGACAGTGATATGAACAAGGATCAACAGGATGTTATCTCATCCAAGCACCATATTTGGGCAGTGAAGTACATGGACTTGATAATACAGTTGATTTGGTTTTGTGAAGTGAGTGGATGTCTTCCATTTACTACTTTATATGGTCAACATATAATGCCATGACAACTCGTGCCAGTGACAATTTCAATTAATTCCTATTCTGATGGGGGTTCTTGACTTCCCGACAACGCCACGTGACACCCCCACTCCAACCACACGCTTTTAAAAAACAAGTAAAACAAGCAAACCAAAAACAAAAAGAAGATAATAAAAAAAGTCAAAAAGAAACCCAAAACGACAAAACTACCCACCCCTCCCCAACAACACCTCCACCCCCCTCACAGTTACTATTGGAGACAGCTATATGCTGGAGGGTTCTATGTCCCTTGTGATAATGTAATCTCCTGTCACCTTATTTGTCGGATCGCGCTTATAACTGACTCGACTGCTTTGTATCTATATATTGTAGTTTTTGTTTAGTGTTTTTTAATGCACTATTAGATACTCAGTTGATGTCTCTGTGTCATACCATATGACAATACATATGAAGTCTAATTTCCTATACCCGTGAAGATCCGGGTTAGAATTGACCTTCAATATCCATGCTTGTCGTAAGAGGAGACAAACGGGATCGGGTGGTTGGCTCGCTGACTTGGTTGACACGTGTTCAAATTCGTAGATCGATGCTCATGGTGTTGATCACGGAATTGTCTGGTCCGGACTCGATTATTTACAGCCCTACTTGGATAACTGTGGCAATTCTAGAGCTAATACATGCACAAAAATATTGCTGAGTGCAGCGTAAAGCTAATCTCACTCACTCAGAATAATTCCTAATAAACTATATTGTCCCTCATGTCGCTATACATGTCTGCCTTCGTGGTGTAGTGGACAGGGTGTCTTCCTGGAGAGCGGATGGTTCGTGGTTCGATCCTCATCTGCTACACATAGAAATACACTAAAAGACGGCTCTTGTTGTTACTCTGTTGACGCTCGGCATTTAGTTAATAAGCACCTGTTGGTTTACTGTGTGTGACTGGTGTGACCATGTTACACTGTGGCATGGCGTCTAAGTGGGACAGTACTGCAAAACTGAAATCACTCCGAACTAGTAAGATGAACACGAGGACAACATGGATCGTTATCCGCTTAGGACATTGCAGCAACTACTTTGCTTGTTCCAGTCAACATCTTCTGAGGAATAGTTAATTTGCAGCTCATGGACTGGTTGCAAGTGTCAGGCTTGCGACAACCGTCGGATTGAACTGTGGAAAAACTCGGATTTGCAAAGTTGGGATCGTATATCAAGTCCTGTGTCATGTGTTCTGTTGTAATTTCGGATCGTGTAAATCGTTGAGCTGCATGAATTGTTTGTCAAGAATTGTTTGTCAGTTGTTCAGCCAACTGTCCATGAAAATGATTCTTTCACCGTTAACAAATCTAGTTTATAGTTTACAAACTATATATGTTCACAATACAAACAATGGGTCCGATTTTAGCAGCAATCTGAGAGTTGTGAAGAAATCCCAAAAATATCATTTTACCTTCCTCAAAGCATTTAGAATCTCGGGATCATCTCCATACCCCCGAGACCACTCCTTTGCAAATAATGCAACAAGGATGCATTGTCTAGAGGTGAGATGAGTTCGAGTTACAGGGCCTCTCCACATGCGTGTATATGTAATGGAAGCACTAATGTTTGTGAGAGTAATTTTCGGATCAGGTTCACATGTGTTGTTATCATCGATCATTCGTGAAGGTCACATGTGTAATTTCTCGGATCCTCAACACCAGAGCCTGACAACTGATAAAAGCTACCGATACGATAGCAACAACGACATATTTGTTTAAACACCTTAAATATTTTTTTGATAAATACCCTTCCGCATATTTTCAAGAACAAAATACTCATTATACATGATGTTTTATTCATATTCTATGACATAAAGTATAATTATATATGTAAGCAATATATCAATCTAACACTTATATACAGGCTACGTATACATTTATATGAAGAATTTTTGTAGCTATGACCTCAACAAGGGACACTATTTGAAGGCAATTCCTGTTGTTCCCAGTGGTGACCTGACATATTTATCGCTGACCAGCGTAAAACCTGTCACTGACATATTGTCAGAATGTTCGGATCGTCATTGCGGTGACACTCGTGTAACTGTTATACACAGCGAGAGGTCAGAACTTAGCAGGCGTATCTCCAGTGTTAGCAGGCGTATCTTCAGTGTTAGCAGGCGTTTCTCCAATGTTAGCAGGCGTATCTCCAGTGTTAGCAGGCGTATCTCCAGAGTTAGCAGGCGTATATTCAGTGTTAGCAGGCGTATCTCCATTGTTAGCAGGCGTATCTCCAGCGTTAGCAGGCGTATCTCCAGTGTTAGCAGGCGTATCTCAAGTGTTAGCAGGCGTATCTCCAGCGTTAGCAGGCGTATCTCCAGTGTTAGCAGGCGTATCTCCAGTGTGTAATATTTCAGCCTCAGCAGCAGGGAGATGTCCATGACACAGCTTCACAAGCTAGATACAGACAAACACTCACACGGACACACAAAGGATCACTATCTTTTGATGGAGGAACAACAACGTTTCTAAAAACGTAGAGTGTTTACTGGTCTCTTCTCATGACCGTTATAGTAACATGCTGACCTGAGTTTATCTCACACACATATGTTTCTTATTCGTCACAACAGAAATCCCACCATGGATACAAGGTGTGAATATTTCTCAATATGATAGTGCTGAAGCCATCCTTCCTCATCTGTGTACGAGCATAGAACACTCATGAATAAGGTTCTCATTAGGAAGTGAAGCCGGTAGATATGATATCGGCCCATATAACAGTGAAGAGAAATATATTTGACCAAAATATACTGAGTCAAAAAAGAAACTTCACAAATGTAATTTAAAAAATAATGAATAATCTTTCTCTGATGATACATCCATGTATCCGAAATGGGATCCCTATCTTTCGACTCTAGAAAAACGTTGGCAAAACCCACTCAAACCCATCCATTCGTCGTGCAAATGGCGTTAGTGCCAAATCAGGTTTTGCACGTGCAGTCGATCACGTGATCTTCGCATCGAAGTTTTCTTCATATGCACGTGTTTGCATTGGCCTCAAGAATTGAAAAAAACCTTTTAAACCACAGTTCTAATCGTACTTGAAATGCCACGATTGTCAAATGTGCAACGTGAACGTGCCGTTGGCATATTGCAAGCGGGAAGATCGGTTATTGACGTCGCAAGACCAATGGGATGCAGCCGTCGTACTGTGTATGACTTGCAAGGTCGTCTACAACAAACTGGCACCACTTCTGATCGCCCAAGGTCGGGTCGTCCACGTGTGACGTCACGAGCAGAAGACCGTCAAATCGTCCTACGTCACCTACGTGACAGATTTCTGCCGACTACACGAACCAGGGCTGAGATGTTTTGAGGTCGACTGTCCTCACAGACCATTCGAAATCGGTTGCGGGCTGCCAATCTCCATTCTCGACGTCCATATCGTGGGCCAATATTGACGCCGTTTCATCAACGTCAGCGTCTGCTGTGGGCCCAACGTCACCTCCGATGGACCCAGGGAGACTGGAATCGAGTCGTCTTTAGCGATGAATCCAGGTTTACCCTCAGATTCGCGGACGGTAGGCATAGAGTCTTGGTTTAAGAATAAAACCATTTATTTCTGCCCCCGGCATTGAGCTAGTAAATATAGCTCCTT